CGATGGGGGTAAACTTTTTTTAATCCCCCCCCCCCCCCATTTTATTTTGTACATTGGGGACAATTCAAAATGGATACTGCTAGCCACCAAACCCCATAGTGTTACACCTGTCGCACTTCCTGTCTTATAGTATTATACCTGTCACACTTTGTCTTATCTCCAGAACAGGAAGCAATCTCCCCAATGCAACATAAATGGCAAAAAATAAACTGACAGCAGTTGCAACCTTCACTTACTCCATCCAAAAATAAAAAGTTTGGCCTATACTCTAGGAAACTTTTTTTATTGTTTTTAATATTGGATAGATTGGGGAAGGGTGACCAAGTTTTATTGCGATCTGTGTCACCTCCAATCTTCCAATGGGGGCACGTGGAATTTCTCTCCCTCTGGGAGATTTATTTTAACTTCCTGTTGCATCTCTGGGATAGGGAACAAAGGAAATGTGATGTAACCCACCCAAAAAAACTACCCTAAACTATGCAAATTTAAGTTGAAAATGTTCTGGCTCTACATACATCAAATGGCCTCACGCCTCAATTATATCTAAGGCCAGAAAAAAAAAAAAAAGCATGCTGATCAGGAGTTCTGATTCCACTTGCCACATACTTCTTCCTCTCGGTCAAGCGGTTAACATTTTCAGAAGCAAGTTACCTATGGCAGCCTCCGTGCTTCTCACAGGAGATTTCCTCCATAGGGCAGCCTGTATTAGTCAGCAGCTCTGCAGTCTACCTATATGTAGACTCACCCCCAGCAGCATTCAAGTATAAGCAATTGTGAACTCGATGTACCGACTGAGCCTACTACGCAGTTCTGTACCCACCAGGCCCAATCCTCACCTCTGTAGCCCCTGTGTGCGCCCGCTCCGCGTCCCTTGGATCGCCTGTTAGCTCTGGCCCGCAGCTCTCTGATGACGTCACGGATGTACCACCCACCCCGGAAGCCTTGGCAGAGTCTCCGCCCACCGTGCTTGGGCCACAGTTACACAACGAGCCTGGCAGCCCGTGCGACGAGATGCTGTGCAGGGCGACGATCAGGAGCCTGCTGGCGGTGGGGGAATGCGGGAGAGTTCCGGCCGCCAGGGCCAGCCGTGCGGAGAGTACAGGTATTTGGACTAGGTCTCAGCCTGGAGGCATGGCAAGTCCTGGCGCAGTATGGGCTGGCAAAGAGTCATTCCAGTACAATGACAGCTAGGCTCTCCAGGGACAGTGTAGGGAAGGTTGACCCTGGTGGCCATCCTTGTCTGCACTTTACATTCAGTGCTCTCATCTGTTCCAGTTCTGTTGTCTGTTCACAATATTTACCAAAGAACTTCACCTTACAGCCTGGGAAGTATTCATGTTTAGTGTTTACTCTACACTGGAAGGGTTGCCCCCTCCCCTGGAATATTTTTTCCTTATGCTTGTTCAAGTGATAACTTACATTTTATATTTGCCTCAAACTTTGTCCCAGCAACAACAGTCACCACAACAGGACGTGAGCGTAAATCCCCCCATCCCCAAGACAGCCAGGCAGCTGGCATTTTCAGGAACAGATCCGCAATAAATATCAGCCTTTGTGTTTCTCTCTGCACACATTTCTGTTAACACTTTGTCAGTAAACAAGCAGATGAATGTAAAGCCGTCAGCACTGGGTGTCACCGGGAACATTACATAACTGAATGTGTCTTGCTCTGTATATTCAATGGAGTTATTTTGTTTTTCAGCAGACTGGCGTGACAGAAGGCATGCAAAGGAGTCAGAGCTCAGACCACTGTATATGGACGTTCAAGCAACAACGCCAATGGTGGGTTATATTATACGCCTTTCCGCTAAAGTCACCCGAGGGATTGTTACAGGGAACCCTTATGCTTTCATACTTGCTGTGAATATTGTGTTTCATGTTATATATTATGTTTCATCTGGCAGTGAAGGTAAGCAAATGCTGCCCTGTGCCGAAGGAGGGTCTGCCTGCTATGATCACATGTTTGGCCACATTATGAAAGAACTGCTGAAAAACAGCAGTGAACCAATCAATTGAGCAGGAATGACAATTATGGAGTTGTGCTGTTGCAATGATTTCATCTTAAAGGACACAAAGTAAACTTTTGATAACTGAAAGGCAATTTTGAATAACATTACATTCCAAAATGACTTGTGTAGCGATTATGTTTTATTTGAGGTTGAGTGCTGACTTTATTTAGAAAGCAGTAGGTCCCCCTACACTCCTTACAGGGTCTCCGGCCCAAAACACAATGATGGTGCTCGTAGTGACAATCACGGATGGCGCCGTGCACAGCAAACAATGGAAGACAGGAATCACCAGCGCTCAATAGAAAATGTTTTTTTAACAGTGCTGGTGATTCCTGTCTTCCATTGTTTGCTGACTTTATTTATTTATTTTAGTTAGGGATAGAGCAGCAAAGAGAACCTCTTAAAGGAGAACTATGGGGTTAAGGCTTTTCCCCGTAGTTCTCCTTAGGGTAACGGGAGGACACAAACTAACGTCCTCCCATCACCCTAAGCTCAGTATACCGCGAGCTACAGCTACAGCTCGCAGTATACTGAGACACCGCAGCTGAAGCGGATCCCGACCTGAAGCGGATCCCGTGAGTGACAGCTGGCTCTGCCTATCTGGAGGCAGAGTCCCCGTCCAATCCGCCAGTCAGCCCCTCCCCTGCCTTGGCAGAGAGCTGTGACAGGATCGAGAGGTGAGCGAACGCCGGTATGTGTTCGCTCACCTCCCGATCTACTGAGCCGACCTGTGACAGTCTCACAGGTCGGCTAGAACTGTGAGGTGAGTGAAAAGCACTCGCCTCATAGTTCTCCTTTTAAAGCTTTTTTTTCTGTCTTTGGCCCCATCAGTAAGATTCCATTGCACTTCCTGTCACCAAAAGCAACACAGGATGTGGAAATACCTTTTGACAGTTGTCACCAGAGCAAGTGTCTCCATTGTAAGACCAGCTGTTTCAGTGGCAACTGTAACATTTTGGATTTCCCTTCACTTTTTGTCCCAGTGACAGTGCTACAGGACAAATAGTTAGGGTAGAGCTCCCCAAGGGTGACACAGACAGCAGGATAAACTTCACAAGGGTTCTAGCCCATCCACAGTCTATCCAAAACTAGAAATAAAAGTTTGGTTTGGAGTTCTATCTTAATGTATTTTATGCTCTCATCTCATGACATGCTGTCATCTGATTTTGGATGGTATTGGATCAGTACATCTGGATTTAAATGTATATATTTTTTTCTTTGTACCATCTTTATTTTTAGGATCCCAGGGTGTTAGACCGTATGTTGCCTTACTTGGTGAATTACTATGGGAACCCTCATTCAAGAACCCATGCATACGGCTGGGAGAGCGAGAAAGCAATGGAGAAAGCCCGAGAGGTAACCTCAATTAAGGGGTTGATAAAGGGCGGCTGTGCCAATAATAAAAACATTCTATAGGTTTGTGAAAGAGGTGCTAGATATTCATGCTTTCAGAATCCCACATAGGTCAGTGATTCTCTTCTTTAGAGTATTCAGTGCTCTTAGTAGGGCTTCTCCTACCAAAAACTGGTAGAGGAAGTCTCAAATGAAAGCAATTCAAGAAAAGACGGGCGACATTGCTACTGGTAAGGTCCAGTAAGGTATTTTATTCAAAGAACAACAAATATTAACCCTTGCAGTGGGGCTACCCCCACATTGCAAGGGTTAAAGTAGTATTAATGTCTGGGAATTTTTTACCTTAATGCATTTTTCTACCCCAGTCCCCTACACACTTACCTGTCAGCTGCACTCGTCCCCGCCGCCGGTCTGAAGAGATCCTCCGTTCCCCGAACTTCCGGGTTGCGGGGGGAGGGTACTGATGGCAGAGGAGCCATAGGCTCCTTCTGCCATCAATCAAAGAGGGAAGGGGCGTGGCCTGCCACAGGGCTGTGTGTGTCTATGGACGCACACAGCCACTGCGAGGACGAGCGCGCATGGGTGCCTCCATTAGAACAATGGTGGCACCCGTGCTGTGGGAAGTGCACTGCGGGGAGCCACTAGAAAATGAGGAAGTAGGCACTTTTAAGGAATAAAAGAAACAGTCTCCAGCAAAAGAGGGTCTCCTTTAACTACCTCCCGGCCAGCTGTTGTGTATACACGGCCGGCCGGGAGCTTCTTGGATGTAATAGGAAACAAATTTAAAGTTTCCCCCCAAAAAAATTTTAAGTTACGCATAAAAAATATTTTTATTTTTTTTAAAGTCCCCACCCCTACATACACGCATGTAAACATGCGTCAGGTGTGCATACCTGCAAAAACGACAATTGCGCCCATTACGCCGCTCATGTTACATATCTCCGCGAACGTCGCAGTGAGAGCAATAATTCTAGGGCCATCAATCACTGATAACACTAAACTGATGAGCTGTAAAAGCTTTTAAAGCGTCGCCTATGGCCAATTTTGGGTATGCTAGTTTTTTGCGATTTCGCCAGTGCGCGCAATTTTTAAGCTTCACATGTTTGGTGTCTATTTACCCGACGTGACCCCGTCTTTTATATTTTACCAAAAAAACTGGTTAATATTAGTTGTTTTATAACATAATGTAAAAAAAAACTTTTTTTTTTTCAAAATTTTCAGTAATTTCTCCCGAATATACTAAAAAAAAGTGGTGATTAAATACCACCAAAAGAAAGCTCTATCTGTCCCCAACAAATGGTATAAAATTCATTTCAGTACAGCGTTGCATGACGGAATAAACGTCAGTCAAAGTACAGCAGCGCTGAATACTGAAAAATGGCCTGGACAGGAAGGGGGTGAAACACCTGGTCTTCAAACGGTTAAAGGAGAAATAAAAAATAAAAAAGTTAGGCTTTAATATCACTTTAAGTGCTTATTTTGGTCTAGGGTCTAAAATAAAGAAGATATACTGACCTGATCCGCGGTCCCGCAGCGGTGACCGCTCAGCTCTCTCTTGTACCTCGGATATCTGCCTTTCTTTGCAGTTGCTCCGGCGCCGCTCAGATCACGTAAAGGCTCTTCAGATTCATGGCCACTCTAAATCCTTTTTTTTGTATTTACTTGGTTCAAGCTGGACTGCTATTGCTGCATCCACAGTTGACAATCTATTTTGGGTTCCTGGGACACTCTCCAAGGACAAGTTAAACTTTGCTGCGACCTTGCCTTTCTTTTTTCCTTTCATTTAAATGTGTTTGAAGTTTAAACACTTTACTGATGCGAGAGCCTAGATTGTGGAATATGATAGCAGGGGTTTATGTCCTTCTGCATTATTTGATGTGGTTGTCTGAAAAGAGTTTCTTTTTTTCTTATGCAGCAAGTGGCTAACCTGATTGGAGCAGATCCAAGAGAGATAGTTTTCACAAGCGGGGCCACCGAATCAAACAATATTGCTTTAAAGGTAAGCTGGAAATTTCATTACTAGTTCTTTTATGTAAGCCAGTTTTTTTTTCCATCGCACTGGGAAACAACTTGCGTCCAACGGCAGTCATCTGTCCCTAATTGCAGTGACAACTGTATTATTTTTAATTTCCCATCACTTGCTCTTCCCTTTCCAGTTGTCACCATAAAGGTGCCCATACACTGCACGATTATCGTACGATAATCGTATGCGATCGGTTTTTCGTAAGATAATCGAGCATTGTGAACGGAGACGTGCAACCGTTTCTACTGTACGGTCGCACGTCTTCTGTCGAACCAGCATGTTCGAAAACCAGCCGGGAATCGTACGATTCTCGGCTGGTTAGAACGGTGCTCGGAAGATAAATGCTGAACGGGCCGGTGTGCGCACGCGCACACTGCCCGTTCAGCATTGCGGTCATCGGAAGCCCGCCCCTCAGGGGGGCGGGCTTGCGATGATCGAGAGTGCGATCTGCCTGTCCAAGATAGGCAGATCGTACGTTTTTT